TTCCACTTCTCTCCTACAAGCTAGCTGTATTTGTGAATTGTGTTTTGATCTTTTAATTACCATATCATGTAAATGCCAAGCAATCATGACACCCAGTAGGCATACCAGTGTTGCTGACTTACTGCCTTACTGAATGACTTACTGACTTGACTGACTTGACTGACTTGACTGACTGACTGACTGACTGACTGACTTGACTGAATGACTTACAGTTAGACTTTTTCACTGAAGAGGACCCTGAAATGGTGTCTAGAGGAGTTGATGCCTTACCGTCAGTTGTATAATGCACTGCGGAGTAAAATAGAACAGAAATCCATTACAGAATTTATGCACACTCCAGTACAACCATTGATTTCAGTACCAGAACCTCTACCATCCACCTCAGCCCAGTAGAGCCACAGCATAATTCTCTACTCTCTTCATAATCCTCCACAAACACCAGCACCCACAATTTAAGGTAAGAAATGCTATTATTTCTGTTGCAGTTATAGTCTTAAGCAGTAAAAACAACATAATACAGTGGACCCCGCCTTACGATATTAATCCGTTCCCGAGAGCTCATCGTAAGCTGAAATTATCATTAGCTGAATTAATTTTCCCCATAAGAAATAATGGAAATCAAATTAATCTGTGCAAGACACCCCAAAGTATGAAAAAAAAAATTTTACCACATAAAATATTAATTTTAATGCACACAAACTGAAGAAGACATGCACAATTACTACTCTACTAAGTTAAGAATACATGACACTTACCTTTATTGAAGATCTGGTGATGAATGATGGGATGGGAGGAGGGGAGAGTGTGGAAGTTGTTATTGTTTAGAAGGGAAATCCCCTTCCATTAGGACTTGAGGTATCAAGTCCTTTTCCAGGGTTACTTCCCTTCTTCTTTTAATGCCACTAGGACCAGCTTGAGAGTCACTGGACCTCTATCGCACAACAAATCTGTCCATAGAGGTCTGTACCTTCCATTCCTTTAAGATTTGCCTAAAATGGGCCACAACATTGTCATTGTAATAGTCACCAGCACGGCTTGCAATAGCTGTTAGGGTGATTTTCATCCATAAAGGTTTGCAATTCAACCCACTTTGCACATATTTCCTTAAACTTTGAAGTAGGCACAATGGATTCCACAACTGGCACAGGTTTCTCAGGGTTAGCCCCAAACCCTTCAAAATCTTTCTTAATTTCCATACTAATTCTCACCCTTTTTACCACAGGGTTGGCACTAGAAGCTTTCTTGGGGCCCATGGTGACTTATTTTGCAGTTACTGAAAACACTGATAATATGAAATGTACCGAATGTATGCTTAGATGCGACCGCACTGGCTGGCATGTAAACACTGGTACCCATGGGGCAGCTGAGGCCACATGTGGGATGCGTCCCTGACGAATCACGTAAGGTGAGTTTTTTATCGTGAGGCAAGGCAAAATTTTTGCATTTAAATGCTTCGTATGGCGGATTTAACGTAATGCAATGCGTTCGTAAGGCGGGGGTCCACTGTACATCATGACAGTGAACTACAATTATATAGTATTCACTTTTATTTTTGTAAGATCTGGGAGTCAAAAAACAAAATGTTTGAAGGGGAAGCTCGCATCCTGAATTTTTGCTCATATCCAGAAACAAAAATTGACCGAGTGACTGCTTGTATCCTGAAAAACTCATGTGGTGGGGCACTCGTAACCCAAGGTTCCACTGTGTGTATGTGTGTGTGTGTATATATATACTAATGTTATTGAAGTTGAATTTGTGTGTGTGAGTTTTCATCTGAGCTGCCTCCTGGTGTTATCTCTGCTACCACATTATTTGCTATATTCCTCCATTTTAGATGCCTTAGGTTAAAATCCCCCACAGGAGCAAGATGTTGGGGGCAGGAGCTGGAAGATTTTCCAGACAGTGGTCAAGTTTCAAAACCTGTTCCTGGAATTGTTGGGACGTTGCATCCGAAGGCTTGTATGCAGCCACAATGACCAGATTTTGGTTCTCGATCTTTACTGCTAAAACTTCAACAACGCAACGGTCTGGAATTTTGAGACTCTCTGATCGTGGGTTCTAACCCTGCCCGTGGTATGGTTTGTTTACATCTGTGTAGGTTGTAACCTGGGATCCATATTTCGTTGTCCAAGTGATCCTTTATGTGGGTCCCTGTGTAAACCACGAACATTGCATTTGACTCTGTAAGCAGTCCACAGATGAAAGGTATTTTGTTATTCATTGCTGGCTTTAGACCCTGTATATTTGCAAAGATGAATGTCGTCGGATTGGTGGTATTGGTGGTCATTTTTTCCTGGCACTAGTATCTGTTGTTTTGGAGTAAAGGCCATCGACTGTTATTCCACTCCGGAAATGATTGGAGGCTATATAGAAACAAAGGATTTTTGTCTTATGTTGCTGCAGCACTGTTTTGGGTATTAGTGTCACCTTCTTTAGAGGCTTTATGGTGTCACCCTTTGATGGTGTCACCTGGGGCGGCCCTCCCCCCTTACGATGCCACTGAATATGCCCATATATACGTATATGGGTATATATTTATTAGTATTGTTATTACTGGCTAATTACCGACAACTACTCAGTGGAAGTCAGCAATTATTTTACACTTTTCAATACATTAAACCTAAGTACATCATGGAATAAGTATTTCTTGAGCCAATTTTTATTTAGTGTATTTAGTCAAGGTTAGGTTTGTTTAGGTAACATTTGGTCACGTTAAGTAACTTTAATCTTGAAAACACCAACCATCTTCATATACATTGTCAGACATGAAACACACCTCATATCTTTGAAATACCTTTGAAGGGTTTTGAGAGTTTTCCTACTCTGGCAGCCTAGTCCTGGAGCCAGGCTTGGCCTGTGCCTTTGTGTGCTGCATGACCCATATATATAATGTATTAATTTTTCTTATAATTCCCAAAAATAACAATTTGCACAATAAATGACTTATCCTATAATGTACCTACAGTAGTTTTATGTATATATTATTATTATTATTATTACTACAAGGTATAAAATAATGACTCAATTCCACCGAGTAGTTATGGGTAATTATTATTATATTACATTCAAAATGTATGACCCTAGTGGGTTTAGTGCTTGGCTTTGATTAGTATAATAATAGTTACATTCAAAGGGAGCAATAAACCTGTAACATGTGGGAATTGGAAGGCAATCAAGTTCAGTCAAAGAAATTCAAATTCAAATTCAAATTCAAAGTTTATTCTCTATAAGGATTACAATGCTGAGTTTACAGAAATTTGGTTATTGTTTGGTTTACATGTAGTAAAATTGAGATTACAGAGTGTACCACTAGAACGCTTAGCATGGCTAGGCATTTCGGGCATACTTAGTTTTATTCTTAAATGTAAAATATTACAAATTATGAGGTAAGTTGCTATTATGGCTAAGTGACTAAATACTATTTTGTGAGTTTAGCAATGTGAATGCTTTTGTTTTGGCACAGTATACAGTTTCAGTATTGGAGGAGATTATAGGTCCATTTCCTTGGATCAAGAGCCCCTTCAAGGCATGACCCTTGAAGAATGTATATACGTACAGATACCTCTTGGTTTATGTACAATAATAATTTAATCTAGTCCAGTCCCTGGACCCATTATGTACCTTTGTAATCTTTTGACTACCGCCCACAGGATGGGTATGGGGTGCATAATAAAGATATTAAACTGTAACTGTAAACTGGTGCTAAACCTGAAAGGATCATGGTTTATATATATATTATAATCATAACTAAGCGCTATACCCACATGGGTCATACAATACAGCATAGTTTATTTACAGATATAAAAAAGCTCTAAACCTACAAGGCCATACAGTGCAGTATATACAGATATACACCACCTGGTGTACATATAAGAAAGTAAGTTCATTTAGGCACCAGTACACAAGCACATGATAATATAAAATACCTAGTATAACCCATGAAAGTCAAAGCGATTTACCCTCTCCTCAAGAGATTTGTCTCTATGATGCTGGTGAAGCGCTATCGATCCATGGAACTGGAGCTATCCTCCTCTTCCTTAGATCACATCACATTCCCCAGGCAGGCGCTGTACAACCTCGAAAGGACCCCATTGGAAATAAGCCACAGACTTTTTTTGGGGCTATCGTAGGTAATCTACACATATCCTCCCCTCAGTGAAGGTTCCTTGACGCTAGTGAGGGGCTCTTGATCTAGGGAATTGGATCTTTGCCCCAGTTCCCTAAATTAAGCCTGAATACCTTCCACATCCCTCCCCACAGGCGTTGTATAATCCTACGGGTTTAGTCCTTCCCTTTGATGATAATAATAATAATACACATATGCTGCTATGTACAATTATTATAATAAAAAAATGCTATGTATGATAATTATGCTTATGTGTACCTGTTCTTGAGTGAACTTAATAAAGGTCCAGCGTTTCCCCATGAATAAAGTAACAGGTGCACATTCAGATAAACAACTCTTAATTTATATAAATATAAATATCTTGTAAAAATACATATACAGTACACCTTTTGTGTGTTTATATTTCTCTAGAGATGTACACCTTCCAGTACGTATCAACTCAAGGTGAATTATATGTTTAATTAGGTACAGTTGCACACATTTAGGTGATTACAATTATGATATATAGCAACATATGTGTAAATTACCTAGGATAACCTCAAAAAAAATAGTGATTTATATTCATTGGGGTTCCTGAGTCCTTGTGTGAATCGTATTCTTATTGTTCGAATCTCTTAATCGACTACAAAATATTTACGAAAATATTGTTTACTTCAAAACTGCTTATCTATAGATAAATAATAGCAATATACCACCATTTACACTATTTGATAACATTTATGCATCGAATAATTCTGTTTTTTTTAATGTGAAGAATTGAAGGATTCGGACACAGTAAACAAAACCTGAGAGGCTGCTGCTGTTGGACCGTCAAAGAGGCTGATTTTTTTATTATATATATATTCCAGGTAAGTTGCCCATCAAGGGAAGTACCTTGATGCTGATGAAGGGCTCTCGTTCGAAAGAACTGGAACTATCTCCCTTTGTTTGGGTCGGATGTAGATGCTTCCCATTTCCCAAGCACTGTGACCCCTGCTGTTTTAGCGCAGGCAGGTTGTATAAATAACTTGATGAACAGTGAATGATGGTTAGTTTGCAGCTCCTCACTCGAATGGGTATGAAGAAAAGTTCTAGATGTAGCAGGCTTATGAGGGACATTGACGATAAGATTTGTTCGGATTTTTAACACGGAGGATAAGCCATCCAGGATAACCCAAGAAAGCCAGCGTCATCGACGACTCTCTCTCTTAGTCGACAATAATCGACTAATACCCAGGTTTCTACATACTACTAGGTGAAGACATGGCATGTGTAATGAAACATGCCCAACATTTCCACCTGTGCCGGAAATTGAACCACGGATACTCACTGTGTAAGGCAAATGTGTTACCTACCAAGCCACTGGAAACATATTCCTGTTGTGGAAATTTTTATATATCGAGATATTAGCAATAATAATAATGACGTGACCCAGCAGCAGTGGGTCGCTGGTCGCATTCTCACCATTAACACACACCCACACCACCTAACTCTTTCATCATTTAACTTAACCTAACCAGAATAATAGATATTAAGACAGGAAGTGATGAAAGACAGCGGTGGTTGTGTAGGTGGTCAGTGTTGGTGGTGAGGCAGTGACCAGTGATCTTTGACCCAGTCATCAACTGCTGTTGTGTGTCTGTTTAGTGCATCATTATTATTGTGGTGCTATGGCTGATATGCTGATAAATAATAATTTCCACAATAGATAAGCATGTTTCTTCTGTTACGGATACGGATGTGTTGTAGTAAGTGGTCAGTGCTACAGGGTTCTGACCAGGGAACAAAGTATATATTGACCCTCTTCCTTTCCTTGGATCAAACCTGATTATATTACATTTTCCAGGCACTGCTGGGCACCTATGTGTCTAGTGCTTTCTCATAAATGTAATAATTATATATGGTGAATTCTTTGCTAGCCTTTATCCACAGCACTACTTATACAGTGGAACCTCTGGTCACGGCCATAATTCATTCCAAAACTCTGGTTGCGACCCTATTTAGTCATGACCCTAACCTAATTTTCCAGACTCCTACGAGCTGTATGTAAATATTGTATTTTTAAGATTTTTAAGTACAAAAATAGTTAATTATACCATAGCAGCATCAGAACTAGCAGCCTCTCCATGCCTTACCACACTATGAATGCAACTTCTCTTACGAAACTTTTCAAACCATCCTCTACTGGCTTTAACTTCATCACTTTCTGCACTCGTAGAAGGGTAATTCTGCCAAAAATCACTATGTATCTTCCTGGCTTTCTCGCATATGATCGCCTCGCTTACACTATCACTTGCAAGTTGCTTCTCGTTCAACCACACTCGCAACAATTTCTCCACCTCTTCCAGCTGTATAGCCCTTGTGGCTTAGCGCTTCTTTTTGATTATAATAATAATAATAATTCACCTCTTCCAGCACTTGAGGCCTCTGCTTGGTTAACATTGTAACTCCCTTAGCAACATTAGCTGCTTTAATAGCCACTCTCTGCTTCAGAATGGTCGAGATCATAGACTTAGGCTTCAGCACACCACACTCATACTTTTCAATAATTTCCTTCTTCACCTCTATTTCAATTTTCTTCAAACCCTTCTTTTTACCCTCATTACCACTCTTCACTTGCTTAGAGTCCATGGCTAATTGCAAAAAGAATTCAAAAACACACGAAATACAACACGAGGAGTTCACAGCAAATGAACGCACGTCTGACTGAGACCTGTTGTGTACACAAACAACAGGAAGTGGGGAAAATTGGCACCTGCAAAAAAAATGGCACAATGTGAAAATTGGTGCAGCTGTGTTTGTTTGGCACCTGATTGTCTTCATGACCAGATGCAAAAATTTGGCGAATTTTTTGGTCGTGAACAGTGGCGGCTTGTATACAGGCACTGCGGAACTGCAGCACCCCCTATTTTCACTCTGTATTATTGATGATATTCAATGTAATGAGTCTTTTTTTTTTCTTTAATTCTTTCTTTATACTTGTACATTATATAATTTCATCAACAGTCATCAAGAGATCAAGGAGAAAATTATTAATCTTTTCGCACAAAGTAGAACAAGAAGAATGGATTTCATTTTTAAATGAATGGGTCAAGCTTGAACTGTAACAATTTAGGTAAGTAAAAACATTTTTTTGTTTATGATTTTATCAAGCTTATGTATAAATTTTCTTTTTATATGCTTGTTTCGTTTTACACAATATTAAATCAATGGCTAAAAATTTTCTGAAGCAGCACCTCCACTAATTTTAGCTATGAGCCATCACTGGACGTGAACCGATTTGTTCGTGTTCAGAAGTGTTCGTGACCAGAGGTTCCATTGTACACTTAATAATATGGAAATACTGTAACTCAGGTCAAATTTCAGTACCAAATAAAGAATTGGTTAGTTATGAATATCACAGTAAGCCTGTGATGCTAGACACACATACATAAAAGTAAATGAGGTTGCTCATAACTTCTCGGCTTCGCCTAGCCAATCTTAGAAACCAGTGAGAGCAAGTAAGTCAGCCGCGTGACTTGACTCGTACCATCACAGAAAAAACATATGAAATGGAGGCTATGAGTCCTCACTCAAACCATTAAGATATTAAATTGTTTTCATACTCTCGAACATGAAAAATTATTTGGAGTGCAAAGTAAGTTGATAACTTAAAACAATGAAATGAAAATTTTAAGCAAGAGATGAAACACGAATATGTCTACAGATTTTTTTTCTTTTTTGCCAAAAGAATTATAGCAAAATGGAACAAACTGCCTGCTGAAGTTGTAGGTGAGGCAGACAATATGGCTATTTAAAAACCAGCTGGACAAGCTGTTTATAAGCACAAGATTTAACTTTGTACTATACAGGGACTAACTGTGGTCAATATATGCCTGATAATTCAGCAACTGCATCAAGACAAACAGTTAACACTAAGCCACTTTGCATATAATAATACTACTATAGCAGTGGTAGAAATAGAGATAATAGTTATGGTTGTGGTAGATATAGCAGTGGCTACTGGTATTGTAGTTTTTGCTCCAGAGCTGCTCAGAATATCAGGTTGCTCACATCTACCTGCACCAGAGTATCCAGAGGTAGAAATAGTGGTTTAGCTGCCTCCCAGTATACAGTAGATCCCTGGCTGACTTTAAGAGGGAGCAAGACAGGCACCTAAAGTCAGTACCTGACCAGCCGGGCTGTGGTTCGTACATTGGTTTGCATGCAGCCAGCAGTAACAGCCTGGTTGATCAGGCCCTGCTCCATCTCAAGGCTTGGTCATGGACCGGGCCACAGGAGTGTCAACCCCCGGAACATCGTCCAGGTATACTCTAAGTATGTAGGTGAATGGTTCAGAGAACCGAGGTATACATACAGCTCTGGGTGGCAGCAGGGTAATAAGTAGTTACAGCAGAAGTAGGGCTGAAAAGTAAAACTAGTTGCTAGCTAATGCCCTCCATCTACTTACTTATCTCTCAATTATGAATTTAATGGTTTTCTTTCAATATGGTATGGTATGTTTTTCCCCCCAATTTCATGAAGGGAGTAGGGGAAGGGGAGAGAGCCTTTTGCTTTACTGTCCTTTACTTAGACATCTAGATAATATATGATGATTTTTTAATCTAGATAGAAATAGATAATCATTCTCAGCAGATACCCTTCATGGAGTGGACAAGTCATCTGCTACCTGTCTTTCCAGGCACTACAGATACTTTCAGTTGTTTGTACAGTATCTCCAATCAGAATCAGACATACAGTGGAACCTCAAATTTCAAACTTAATCTGTTCCAGGAGCTAGTTCTAAATTCGAAAAGTCTGAAAATCGAAGCAATATTTCCCATAAGAAATAATGGAAATACAATTAATCCGTTCCAGAAACCCAAAAATATTCACACAAAAAAAATACATTTTATAGATTAATTACAGTTTTACATACACACAACAAATACTATACCTGGAGTTTACCTGGAGAGAGTTCCGGGGGTCAACGCCCCCGCGGCCCGGTCTGTGACCAGGCCTCCTGGTGGATCAGAGCCTGATCAACCAGGCTGTTGCTGCTGGCTGCACGCAAACCAACGTACGAGCCACAGCCCGGCTGGTCAGGAACCGACTTTAGGTGCTTGTCCAGTGCCAGCTTGAAGACTGCCAGGGGTCTGTTGGTAATCCCCCTTATGTATGCTGGGAGGCAGTTGAACAGTCTCGGGCCCCTGACACTTATTGTATGGTCTCTTAACGTGCTAGTGACACCCCTGCTTTTCATTGGGGGGATGGTGCATCGTCTGCCAAGTCTTTTGCTTTCGTAGTGAGTGATTTTCGTGTGCAAGTTCAGTACTAGTCCCTCTAGGATTTTCCAGGTGTATATAATCATGTATCTCTCCCGCCTGCGTTCCAGGGAATACAGGTTTAGGAACCTCAAGCGCTCCCAGTAATTGAGGTGTTTTATCTCCGTTATGCGCGCCGTGAAGGTTCTCTCTACATTTTCTAGGTCAGCAATTTCACCTGCCTTGAAAGGTGCTGTTAATGTGCAGCAATATTCCAGCCTAGATAGAACAAGTGACCTGAAGAGTGTCATCATGGGCTTGGCCACCCTAGTTTTGAAGGTTCTCATTATCCATCCTGTCATTTTTCTAGCAGATGCGATTGATACAATGTTATGGTCCTTGAAGGTGAGATCCTCAGTTATGTATATAAATATAAAATAACACTTTTACTTACCCTTATTGAAGATTGGTGATGGCATCTGGAAGATAGGGAGGAGAGAGGGAGTCGGGGTTAGTGTTTGGAAGGAGAATCCCCCTCCATAAGGACTTCAGGTAAAGCCCTCTCTGGGGTTACTTCCCTTCTCTGTCTTTTAATGCCACTAGGACCAGCTTGAGAGTTACTGGACCCCTGTCTCACAAAATAACTGTCCACAGTCCTTTGTTTCTGTCTCACAAAATAACTGTCCACAGTCCTCTGTACATCCTGGCAAGCTCAACAAGTCTCACACCACTCTCATACAGTGGACCCCCAACTTACGATATTAATTCATTCCAGAAGTCTGTTCGGGTGACGTTACCGAACGAATTTGTTCCCATAAGGAATATTGTAAATTAGATTAGTCCGTTTCAGACCCCCAAAAATACACGTACAAAAGCACTTACAAAAATACACGTACATAATTGTTCGAGTTAGGAGCTGATTGTAAGGCGGGGGTCCACTGTACTTCTGTATTATTTCCTTCTTCACATCTATGGTGTTTCTCACTTTCTTTACCACAGGGGTACCACTAGCAAGTTTCTTTGGGCCCATGGTAGCTTATTTCACAGTCCCACAAGCACTAAACACAATGAAATAATTATAAAATGTTTGAATGAGAGTGCATGTTAATGTTCACTCAAGCATAAACAAAGCCAGACCGGCTCACAGCGCCTGCACGGGGACGCAGACAGAGTGGGCTGGCGGACAGGTCCGGTACCCAGCGGTCCGAAAATAGGGGCACGTTTGATAATTGGGACAAAGTCGGTTCAAAAAAAGGGTTCTATTTTTGAAACATTCGATATGTGATATGTTCGAATTTTGAGGTTCCACTGTATTGTGTTGAACTTATCTTGCTTATTCTTTTCATATACAGTAAATGATTTGTTGGGTAAGAAAATACCTCTAATATCTGCTAAATCTTATTAAAAGCAAGAATAATCTTGTAAGATTTGATTTTCACATTTTATGTAATTTTAAGCTCCTAGAGTAAATCTTAACAAGCAGTGTATCTACACCATGCCAGCTACCCAGATTCCTAGGCTATGGCACTTGTTATAGCCAAGGCCAAAAATAAATATAAACTGAATATTTAATGTTAGATTTTTTTTTTAATTCCACCATCCATCTCCCACCAAGGTAGGACAACCCAAAAAAAATGAATCATTCACCACAATTTATTCAATAGCTCTCTTGACAGTAGTGTGCAGGCTTCATAATTCAAAAACCCCTCTGAACTAGAGCATTCCCATCCTTTCAGAGTAAATGCACTATACTTCCCACCTCCCTGATTCGAGGTTGGCTAACCAGTTTCCTTGAATTCCTTCATAAATGTTACAATGTACACACTCCAACAGTGTGTCATATTCCTAAAGCCACTTGTCTCTATTCACTCTGATCTAACATGCTCACACAACTATTGGAAGCTCAAGCCCCCTCACTACTTGAAACCTTCATACCCTCCCTCTAACTCTTACTGTAATACCCCTAGCCCCTCCTGAACCAACTCCTACCTCTCCTTCCTTCCACATCTATGCTCTTTAATTTTTACATAATATTGACACCACACATTGCTCTTAAACATGTCATCTCCACTGTCTCCAGCCTTCTCCTACTGCAGTGTTTAAAGTCCATGCCTCACACCCATATAAAAGGGTTGTTACCACTGTACTCAGGTACATTGCTCATTTTGCCTCAAAATGCATATAGTGTACCATTAAAAATCACACCCAGATGTGATGTGTTTTGCTTTAGTTTTTTAATTTCAGAATTAATCTAAATACTGTTTTGTACAGCATACTATATTTTTTTAAATAGTACAGTACCTTGGGTACTTTGCATGTCCATATAGAAGGGGCATTAAATTTGTAGTGTGTTGTTTTTAAATTATTTATCTCCTAATAATATATTTCTCTTAACAGCACAATATGTTGAGTTTGCTGAAAAAGGAAATTGAAGCTAAAAAACGATCACTAGAAGAAAGCAATGTTTTTGAGGGAGAAAAGAAGTACTTCAAGAGAAGTGAATTAGGTGCACGCCAAGCAGAAGCATATTGGAAAAAGTGTGGAATTGGATCAATTGGTGGTAACAGTGGACATGGAGGATCTAATGTTAATGAAAATGGGTCTTCAGTGTCTCGGGATACAGTGAATGAAGAAGATGTTGGAGATGCACCTGAGTTACCACGTGTGGAGGTTATTCGTCGATTACGAGAACGAGAGGAACCTATTTTACTGTTTGCTGAGAGTGAACATGATGCATTCCGAAGATTAAGAAGATTAGAAATATTAGAACCCGAGGTTAACAGAGGTCTTCGAAATGACTTCCAGGAAGCTCTTGAGCGTGTAGATCAGGCATACTTGAATGAAATTTTAAAGACGGAAGATGGCGAAGGAGCTCGTAATGTTGCCCTTTCTGGTGAAACCATTACCATGGAAAGTGTAATTGAAATGGCAAAAGATCTTAATAATGGCAATGCTACCAATGAATTGAGATGTAAAGTTATATTTAAATTTGTACAGCTTATACTACAATTATGGGGCAGTAAACATAATGCAAGACCTGAAGCTGAGAAGACGAGTGTTAGAGGCAAGATGGACTCTGCTACCTACACGCAAACACAAGCATACTTAAAACCCCTTATCAAATGTCTTAAGAAACGCTCCTTACCAGATGACATTATGGAGTGCCTCGTAGAAATTGTGCAACATTGCTTAGATGGAGACTATGTTAAAGCTAATGATGCTTATTTACAAATGGCTATTGGAAATGCACCTTGGCCTATTGGCGTCACCATGGTTGGTATCCATGCACGTACAGGACGTGAAAAGATCTTCAGTAAGCACGTAGCTCATGTGCTGAATGATGAAACACAGCGTAAATATATCCAGGGCCTAAAACGTCTCATGACAAAATGTCAACAGTATTTCCCAGCAGACCCTTCCAAATGTGTGGAGTACAGGGCTGTAGCTCAGTAATTTTAGAGTATACTTTGTATCTTACAAGATTAATGGCTAACTTTGCACATTGTTTTATGAAGTATTGTATTTGTACCTACCTTCTGCCCCCTGTCTTAAAAATTGTTGTTGGCATAGCTGTTTTCTAATAGCTGTTCTTTTAATTTCACCACTTATGGACTCCAACAGTATTTCTCATTCTAATTTCTGTGATTCCTCAAAGACTGTCATTCATGAATTTAAGATATATTTGTGATTAACCCTTGAATTACAGGGATGTTAAAGCTCAACAAAATTGTACTTGTTTATTATTATAATAAAAAAGAAGCACTAAACCCATGAGGGTCAGTTACATGTACAGTACAACAAAAAGTAGTTCATTAAGTACCTTTTTAATAGGTTAAATTACAGTAGTCTTTAAATTGTTAATGTAAAGAATATTAATGAACATGACTATTATCATCACACTATTTGAATATAAATATTTTAATAAAAAGATACTATAAGCTTAATTAAATTTTATTCCTCCCAAATTGCAACTACAGTATGGAAGATGAATATTGGTAATACAGGTTTGTCTTTAAGCTACAAACAAAAATGCCAATCAGTGATTTATATTTGAGAGTTGCATGGTACCTTTGATATACCTCTGATGAGTTCCAAGAGTTTTTCCACTCCCAGAGTCCGGCCATCGGCCAGGCTCATCATGGTACATTTTCCACTTAGCTTCAGCTGAATGCAAGTAGAGAGCTGGTGCAAGGGGACGAAAATTTTTGAAGTACCACATGTCTTAGGATCCTAAGCTGTAGCTTAGCTTGTAAGTGCTCTCCCAATGAATGTAATAAAAGTACTTAAAAATTTTTTTTGGAAACTGCCAGTGTGGATAGGAAGGTTATGAAGATGCAATGTGCAAAACATACTCATAATAGGACACCATTCCTCTGTGTACAGCTTTTATCAAGTCATTCATTCATCTTGCACAACTTGATAGAGCTCTACCATGAACAAAACTGTCCCATTAAAAGTTTGTTCTGTGTTGTACCATACCAACACCTGTCAGCATCGTGTCTGTAGTCCCATGCATCCAAACTAAATATCCTGTAAGAAGGGTTGCCTTAATGTCAGTAAGGGGCTTCTAATTCAGCAAATTAAAGTTACTGATCTCTTCCTTTGACTGAACCAGATTACCTCTCATTTCCCAAGGGAGATACTGATCTCCTTGGACAGAACCTGATTAACACCCATTCCCCAAGTGCTGTATGACATCTATGGGTTTTGTGGAAAATTCTGAATTTTCGTAAATTCATCATGTGTAAATTTGAATACAATAATTGTGTAATAAAATGTGATGCTGATTTGACCCTTGCGAGGAATTTTGAGTGTGGGGGGGATGTAGAACAGCTGCTGAGTGATGCAGAGAGGAGATGCCATATTGAAACTGAATGTGTGAATACTGGTCTGAACTGTGCAATGTAATCAGGCATTCTCAAAGGTCAACTGATGTACATCAACCTCGATTCATAATTTAGAAATTGCTGACATGTTCCTCCTGAAGAATTGGGATAAATAATGTGGAAAACCTTTACATTTTGGCAACAAGAATGGAAAAAATAGAGGACACCGATTCTTCCTAGGAGCACACCTTAGTTAAGTGATGCTAACCCATAATGTACAGTAGCTTTGCTTTGGCCATCATAAATTCTAACTATAGTGGCAGCATTAGGGTGCGCTTCCAAAAAATAATAGTGATCCAGTAATTGTAAGTGGTGATACAAATTTCCCTTCTAATAACATATAATTTATATGCCATAATTATATTGTGTGTGCCCCAGCAAGCCTTAATCATAAACACCACTACACAACTTTAATTTACCAGGGTAGTAATGTCAGGTCTAGCTTTTAGTGAGAGTGGTAGGGAGTGGGCATCAAGGGAGTGACAGTTTGACAACCTACTGTGACTAAGTCCCAGTTCACCCAAATTACTTACAGGAAATTCAGGTAATTCCCTGTAAACCTCATGCAGGTAATTGCTCACATAATTCACAAAAGGTTAGTGCTTCCCCATATATTTAATGCCCTGTTAAACCTTTCTACATATTAGAGTGCCATGGTACTGTTTACCTGGAGTTTACCTGGGAAGGGAAGGGGGAATTGATTCTGGTAAGGGGCTCTTGATTCAAGGAACTGGATTGGTCCTCCACTTGAATCGAACCTGAATGCCTCCCAGTCCCCAGGCGTTATATGACCCTTGTGTTTAGCACCTCCTTTGATTAAAATAAGTAGAAATAAAAATTATATTAAAAAATGCTTAATACCAACATTATAAGATATACAAGATACAGGATAATATCACTGGCACATTTTATACATTATTGCGACACATGGTGTAATTTAAATTAGGAAACAATCAGTGCATATACATATATATTATAGTAATGTTTATGGTCATGTGACATAAACATCTCATGGGAGGTGAGTGGATGCTGATGAAGGACTCTTTGATCCAAGCAACTGAACGTATTCCTCCCTTTCCTTGAATCGAACCTGATTGCCTCCCATTCCCTGCGAACTATATGGCCACCGCAGATTCAGAGCTTCCCGATTAAAATAAAAATAATTTTAAACGGTGATCTATTTGACTACATTGCATGTAACACGCATGCATTATCCCCTTAATAGCAGTGCTGTATAGCCCCTGTGGCTTAGCGCTTCTTTTTAATTATAATAATAATATCCCCTTAATAAAAATGTCACTTAGATATGGCCGTACTTGACAGCTTGGGATGATAAATCATTACATGCTAATGTGAATATTTTTTAATTGTTTTTATAAACTTATTTCTATTCAAGTAGAAAAACGCAGTCAACTACTAACACCAGACACACAGAAGATAATATATCACTGGAAAAGTTCTTCGGATGTAACAAAGATCCTGTCCCAAATCTGCACACGAAAGCAAAAGGCTTGGCAAGAGATGCAACATCCCCCCCCCCCGATATAAAGCAGGGGTGCAACGAGTTCACTAAGAGACAAAACAGTATCAGGGACTCAAGACTGTTCAGCTGCCAGCATACATAAGGGGGGATTACCAATAGATCCCCCTGGCTGTCTTCAAGAAGGCGCTGGTCAGGCACCTAAATTCAGTATCTGACCAACCGGGCTGTGGCGAGCAGTAACAGCCTGATTGATCAGGTTCTGATCCACCACGAGGCCTGGTCACGGACTGGGCCGCAGGGGCGCTGATTCCTGAACCCCCTCTCCAGCTCTAGGAATACTCCAGTTATACCCCAGGCATGACTATATAAACAGCATAATTGATGATATGAACCCCCAACTACTTGAGCAGGTTCATCATGGACACATGCCCGGATTTAACAGTTAGCAGTTGACTTTATTATAATAACTTAAGTCGCTGAACCACACTCACTGGATAACCTGGAGTTTACCTGGAGAGAGTTCCGGGGGTCAACGCCCCCGCGGCTCGGTCTGTGACCAGGCCTCCTGGTGGATCAGAGCCTGATCAACCAGGCTGTTACTGTTGGCTGCACGCAAACCAACGTACGAGCCACAGCCCGGCTGGTCAGGAACCGACTTTAGGTGCTTGTCCAGTGCCAGCTTGAAGACTGCCAGGGGTCTGTTGGTAATCCCCCTTATGTATGCTGGGAGGCAGTTGAACAGTCTCGGGCCCCTGACACTTATTGTATGGTCTCTTAACGTGCTAGTGACACCCCTGCTTTTCATTGGGGGGATGTTGCATCGTCTGCCAAGTCTTTTGCTTTCGTAGTGAGTGATTTTCGTGTGCATGTTCGGTACTAGTCCCTCTAGGATTTTCCAGGTGTATATAATGACGGGTAGGAAATCTTGAGTTAATATAATAATAATATATTTATACAAGTACATGTGCAGCGCTGTATAGCCCTTGTGGTTTAGCGCTTTTGATTATAATAATACAAGTGCATGTACAAGGTATACAGGCCTGGCTGATATCAATGACATACTACTATATGGAAACCCATTTGTTACGTTCAGAGCATTTCGGGCAAATTAGGTCAGTTTTGTTCCAGGATGCGACCCACACCAGTCGACTAACACCCAGGTACCCAATTTTATACTGATGGGTGAACAGGGACAGCAGGTGTCTTATGGAAACACGTACTAATGTTTCCCAGCCGTACCGGAGATTGAAACTCCGGACTTCAGTGTGTGAGCTGAGTGCGCGGGACACCCGTAGCTCGATCGTATAGTACTATAGACACCCATAGTACAGACATAATATTTAAAGTAAGCCTTCAGTGCATATACAGTGAGTGATATGTACCGTTCAGTGTGTATATACTTCGGTGTATGTACACAGATACACACCGAGTATTTTACAGATGTTCGCCTCTTCGTCCCTTCAAGGGGTGGGCCTCAATACAGAATTGCAGGTGAAGGGCTCTTGATCCAAAGAGCTGGAACTGCCCTCCCTTTTCTTGGATAGACCCTGCAGTGCTGTGTAGCCCTTGTGGTTTAGCGCTTCTTTTTTATTTTAAGAATAATAATTGGATAGACCCTGACTGTCCCTATTACACAGGAGCTGTATTACCCTACGGGTTTAGTGCTCCACTAAATAAAATAATACCCATCAGGCATTAGTATGACACGTGTGCAACACTCAGTGTCTCTTGAATAACGAAACGTTCCCTCAGCGCAGTAGGCATCATTAGTTAAATACAGAAATCCCACGGACCTTCAGATTACTATATGACTTAAATGAAGATTTGTATTTGTATTTGATTACAGCAGTGGAGACTGTAATCGGAGAGGTAGGTTGAGGTACCCACTCTCAGCAGTGCGGAAGATGGTTAGTCTCTGCCTAAATCAGAGCAAAAGTCCAAACACACACGGACTCAACTGTAGCAGCTTGATGATGTCATAAGTGAGTGGGGCCGTTAGTGGAAGTCATGTAAACAGTTTAGCGTGGGCTAATAGGCCTACCGATGTGTTCATTCTTATGTGGTGACGTGTACTTAGCTCAGTGGTGACGTGTACTTAGCTTCAGTGGTGACGTGTACTTAGCTCTGTGAAGACCTGTTTGTGTGCTCTCTGTGAATCTGAACCAGGATGCCCTCTCTTGAGCAACTTTACCAGCAGCTGAGAGAAGAGCTCAGAGTTGCTAAGATGGAGATACGGCGATTAACGGAGGAGAACAAGAGGATTCGTAGTAATCCTCCTGTTGTGAGTCCCCAGGTTAAGAGGGGAGCTTAGTCAGTGGCCGGGCAACATGGAACCAAGCTGAAGATCAAGAAAACGGTTGGAGAGGCAGAAACAACGAGAAACCAGAAGACTACCGTGGAAATTTCCAACCCATTCTCGGTGCTACCTGACGAATGTGAGTGTTCTACTGGGAATGCCACAACGAGCACCAAAGAAGCATTGGCAGACGTGAGTGAGACATCCCTAGAAACCCCAACGAAGGCCATCGAGAACGTCTTGACGAATTCTTCAAGTGGTGTAATGCTACCTGGCAAATGTGAGTCG